ATAAATATATTAAACAACCATGGTGACATTACATATCCCTGTCAAAGGCCTACTTTTACTGGGAAGTAGTCTCCCTCTCTTCTACACACCCTAACCTGAGCCTCACTATCCTCCTAAAAACTCTTTACAGCATTTAGTAACTTACCACCTATTCCATATACTTGCAACATCTGCCACATTGCTTCCCTATCCACTCTATCGTATGCCTTTTCTAAATCCATAAATGCAATAAAAACTTCCCTACCTTTATCTAAATACTGCTCACATATATGATTCAATGTAAACACTTGATCTACACATCCCCTACCCACTCTGAAGCCTCCTTGCTCATCCGCAACTCTACATTCTGTCTTACCTCTAATTCTTTCAATAATAACCCTATCGTACACTTCTCCTGGTATACTCAGTAAACTTATTCCTCTATAATTTTTACAATCTCTTTTGTCCCCCTTCCCTTTATATAAAGGGACTATACACGCTCTCCGCCAATCCCTAGGTACCTTCCCCTCTTTCATACATTTATTAAACAAAAATACCAACCACTCCAACACTGTCCCCCCCTGCTTTTAACATTTCCGTCATGATCCCGTCAGTTCCCCCCACACTCACATCCTGCTCTTCTTCACTCCTAAAAGATGGTATACCTTCCTGGCCAGTGCATGAAATTACCGCCTCCCTTTCTTCGTCAACATTTAAAAATTCCTCAAAGTATTCTCGCCATCTACCCAATACCTCCATCTCCCCATCTACTAACTCCCCTACTCTGTTTTTAACTGACAAATCCATTCGTTCCCTAGGCTTTCTTGTTTAACTCACTCCAAAATTTTTTCTTATTTTCATTAAAATTTCTTGACAGTGCCTCTCCCACTATCATCTGCTTTCCTTTTACACTCTCTCACCACTCTCTTCACCTTTCTTTTACTCTCCATAAACTCTACTCTTCTTATAACACTTATGCTTTGTAAATACCTCTCATAAGCTACCTTTTTCTCTTTTATCACACCCTTTACTTCATCATTCCACCAATCACTCCTTCCTCCTGCACCCACCTTCCTATAACCACAAACTTCTGCCCCACATTCGAATACTGCATTTTTAAAACTATTCCAACCCTCTTCAAACTCCCCACTACTCATACTTGCACCAGCCCACCTTTCTGCCAATAGTTGCTTATATTTCACCCGAACTTCCTCCTCCCTTAGTTTATACACTTACACCTCCCTCTTACTTGTTGTTGCCATTTTCCTCTTATCCCATCTACCTCTTACTCTAACTGTAGCTACAACTAAATAATGATCCGATATATCAGTTGCCCCTCTATAAACATGTACATCCTGGAGCCTACCCATCAACCTTTTATCCACCAATACATAATCTAACAAACTACTTTCATTACATGCTATATCATACCTCGTATATTTATTTATCCTCTTTTTTCATAAAATATGTATTACTTATTACCAAACCTCTTTCTACACATAGCTCAATTAAAGGCTTCCCATTTTCATTTACTGCTGGGACCCCAAATTTACCTACTACTCCCTCCACAACATTTTTACCCACTTTAGCATTAAAATCCCCAACCACAAGTAGTCTCACACTTGGTTCAAAACTCCCCACGCATTCACTCAACATTTCCCAAAATCTCTCTCTCTTCTCTATACTTCTCTCTTCCCCAGGTGCATATATTATTATTAATATTATTATTATTATTATTATTATATGAACAATTCAGCAGCCTGGGTGGAATCACGCTTCATATTGACTGGACTACAGTCTAAATGACCTACCCCTCTAAATTCCAGCCTCCATTTAACAGCTGCCTCCTGTGTCCTGAATGTCAATAATACAGTATCAAATAGGTAACCATGGTCTCACTGCAGATTACGTAGTTTTAAAGGATGAAAATGCCATTTTTGCACAAGGACCCTGGGGGCATACCAATTCCTCCACTTCCCTACTGCCAGCCTTGGTTGCAAATTAGTAATCAGAGCTCTATAAAGGTTGGTAGAAGGCAGAGTCTACTATAAGTGAGTGGCACAAGTACACAGGTGGAGGGAGGCTGTACCATGAGCAAAAGTATGAGACAAATGACTGGGGTTAAGAGAGATGTGATTGCAGTATTTCTTAAGAGAGTAGCTTGTAAAAACTAGGTAGTGAATATAATACTGACAAGTTGGGGTAATGACATGTGCAAAACACTTCGGTTTCAATCCTGGGACCAAAAATGCTTCCTAACAAATGTCTTAACTGTTTTGCATATGTCATTGCCTAAGTGTAGGTTGTGTTCCAAGTGGTTTCCCAGGGCCCTTATGGAAGAATGAAATTTTCATTCTTTCAAACTATGCACAGTATTATAGACTTTTCTTAACACAACATCCGTCTACCACCGAGGCAGGGTGACCCAAAAAAAGAAGAAACAAAAGTTTTTTTTCTTTTTTACATTCAGTAATCCATACAGGAGAAGGGGTTACTAGCTCCTTGCTCCGGCATTTCAGTCACCTCTTACGACACGCATAGCTTACAGAGGAAGGATTCTTCTCCACTTCCACATGGAGCAGTAGTACAGATGTCCATATAGATTACTAAGTCTTATTCTACCTTTCTGAAGGTAGAACCTCATGCAATATGATTGAAAATATTCTGCAAACAATGCTGAATCATTCTACATGCTGATTTTCTTATGAAATAGATAAAGCAACCACTATCTGCTTGTAATGAGAAACAATAATGTGTAAAACAATGAGAAAGGGGGAGGAGGAGGAGGAGGAGGAGAAAGGATCTGCTGAAAAGGAATTGCATATATTACCAGTACACTAAGTACACAAAACATGAGGTGCATGAATACTTTTATACACAGGTGTACATATCAGATTGTACACACAAAAACACACACATACATAAGCACAATAAAGAACTTAATGAATCTTACTCAAATATTTTAAATCTGTTACACAAGTGTGAGTGTAATGTAAATTTGTCATAACCTATAGCTTAAACACCATGACAGTACACCACTGCAATGTACAAAGTATTCATGTCTTCTATGTCATATATTCAAGTTTGTCAACACAAAGTTTTCCACTAAGGCAACATGACCTAAATTATATTTATGGGGAAACACTAAACCAGAAAGATTTACATAAGACCTGAAAGGGTGCAGGGTAATTAGGATTGAAATGATGAAGGGAGGAGTAGCCCCAATTTTACATATTTTTTAACAATCCAGCCATCTCCAACTGAGGTAGGGTGACCTGACAAAGAAGAAAACACTTTTACTGCCACTCATTCAATCACTGTCTTTTCAGAAGGGTGCTGACATTACAGGTCAGAACAAGCTCCAAACTGCAACATTTCCACCCCCTCCATCAGTGTAGTCACCGTATTTCCCACTTCCAGGACTCAAGTCCGGCTAACCGGTTTCCATGCATCTCTTCATCAATGTTGCTAACACTCCAACAGCATGTTAAATCATAACTGCTTGTCGCCACTCACTCCTGTCCAACATACTCACACAAGTCTGTTGGATGTCTAAGCCCCTAGCATTCAAAACCTTTACCACCTTCCTCCAATGTTTCCTAGAAAGACCGCTATCCCTCCTTCCCTCTACCCCAGATTTATAAGCCCTCCTAGTCATCTCATTCTAATCCATCATCTCTAAATGCCGGAATTACTTCAACAACCCTTCCTCAGCCCTCTGAATAATACTTTTGGTAATCTCACACTTCCTCCTAATCACCAAGCATAATATTTACACCATTCATTGCCCAAAGACATAACATCTCCACTGCCTCAAGCCTCCTCCTTGCTCCAACATTCAAAACCCATGCTTCACACTCATACAACAGTTGGTACCACTACACTCTGATATATTCTCCTTTATACCTCTATAGATAAAGTTCTCTGAGGCAACTAAAATGCTGAAAGCAAGGGGCTAGTAACCCCTTCTCCTGTATAAATTACTAAATGTTATAATAAAGACTTTGGTTTTTCTTTTTGGGTCACCCTGCTTTGGTGGGATAAAACCAGTTTGTTAAAAATATATAAATAACAGAAAAGAGCAAGGTGATGAGGGTATCAAAAAATCTAGGTAATGAGAGACTGGATATCAGATTAGAGGGAGGGCATATAGAGGAAGTGAATATGTTCGGATATCTGGGAGTGAACATGTCAAGATTGGTCTAATAAAGATGAGGTGAACCATAGAATTGACAAGGAACAAAAGGTGAGTGGTGTACTGAGGCATCTGTGGAGACAAAGAATTTTATCAATGGAGGCAAAAAAAGAGGAATATATGAAAGTACAGTGGTACCAATGATCTTAAATGGGTGTGAAGCATGGGTTGTGAATGTTGCAGCGAGTAGGCTGAAGGCAGTGGAGATGTGAAGTCTAGGGGCAGTGTGCGGTGTGAATATTATGCAGAAAATTCATAGCTTGGAAATTAGAAGGATTTGTGGGATTACTAAAAGTATTATCCAGAGCTGAGGAAGGGTTGCTGAGGTGGTTTGAACATTTAGAGAGGCTTGAAAAAAAAAAGTATAACTTGGAAGGCATAAAAACCTGTAGTGTCAAGAAGAGGTCATCCTAGGAAAGGTTGGAGGGAGGAAGTAAAGGAAGTTTTGTGTGCGAGGGACTTGCACATCCAACAAGGGTATGTGAGCATGTTAAATAAGAGTGGAGGCAAGTGGGATTTATGACTAAAGTGCTGTTGGAGTGTGAGCAAGGTAACATTTATGAAGGGATTCAGGGAAACCAGTTAGCTGGACTAGAATCTTAGAGATAAGAAGTATGGTGCCTGCACTCTGAAGGTGGGGTGGGGATATTTACAGTTTTGAACTGTAGTATCGGTGCACCTCTGGCAAGAGTGATTGAGTGAGTGATGAAAGGTGTATCTTCATTTTTGGGTCACCCTACCATGGTGGGAGACAGCCAGTTTTTTTTTTTTTAAATATATAACTAAATCAAAGGCAGCAAATTAGTGAACTAGCACTACATCATACTTTATAAGGTGTAGGGTTGAGGTTGCGCTTGTGGTCCTGCCTCAGCGTCTGCAGCGACTCTGTCACTCTGTCCCGGATTTCTTCTAGATTTGGCAAATCTTGTTGGATTTTACCATCTTTCCAATACAGCTGAAATATAATAACGTGTGGGTTACATATATTGATAAGTACATACTTAAATAAATAACATGTACAGTAGTAGGTAGTAGGTTGGTAGACAGCAACTGCCCAGGAAGGTACTACCGTCCTGCCAAGTGAGTGTAAAACGAAAGCCTGTAATCGTTTTACATGATGGTAGGATTGCTGGTGTCTTTTGTCTGTCTCATAAATATGCAAGATTACAGGTATGTCTTGCTACTTCTACTTACACTTAGGTCACACTACACATACATGTAAAAGCATATATATACACACACCCCTCTGGGTTTACTTCTATTTTCTTCTAGTTCTTGTTCTTGTCTATTACCTCTTACCTCCATGGGGAAGTGGAACAGAATTCTTCCTCCGTCAGCCATGCGTGTTGTAAGAGGCAACTAAAATGCCAGGAACAAGGGGCTAGTAACCCCTTCTCCTGTATATAATACTAAATGTAAAAGGAAAAGCTTTCGTTTTTCCTTTTGGGCCACCCAGCCTCGGTGGGATACAGCAGGTGTTTTGAAAGAAAGAAAGAACATGTACAGAAGGACCCCTACCTACAAATGTCAAAGTTCCAAACATCTGTGCTTACAAAAGTGGTATTTAACCCTTTGAGGGTCGACAGGCCCTCTCAAACTTGTTCTCAGGGTCGGCCAAATTTCAAAAAAAAAAAAAAATTATTTTTTCTTATGAAAAAATAGTTTTTTTTTTCTAAACATTATAGGATAAACAAAAAATTTTACCATCAATACTTACGGAGATATGGAGGCATGAAGTTTGCAGAAAATGAGCCACGTATGGCAACAGCGGCGACTGCCGCTCACCCGGTAAACTTTAGTTTACTTGTATTTGAAGGTTTGTTGTTTTTTTCACTATTTTATTTTTTCACATAACTTATGTGGCCTGTGAGACCAAAGTAAGGTGCAATGTACATATATACACTCGTTGTATACAACACAATAAGCACACAAACATAATTATCAATATATTGTTTACAAAACTTGTTTACAAAAACAAACAATACAAAACATTGTTTATTATTATTGTTCTATAATATATATACCAATATACAGTCACTGAATATATTCCTATTAGTTCTGCAGCTTGTGGAACTCTCTGAAACATGGTGTCATACACAATGGTGTTTTATCTTTCTCCCTCATTCTATCTCTTTCAATCTGTCTGTCTCTCTCTGTCTGTCTGTCTGTCTATCTCTGTCTCACAGGTACACATAAATACAAGTATACGTAGTATAAATTACCTAGGATAACCCAAGAAATCCAGACAAAGTGCTATACTCTGCTTGAAGATGTGAGTAAAAGTGATGACGCAGTCTTGTGGCTCTCTGAGACAGAGCTAGACGGATAGACAGATAGACAGGGAGCTTGACAGACAAATAGACAGACAGAAATGTTAGTGTACCAGCAGAAACAAAGGGAGGGCGATGTTCATCTAATCTTTTCTTATCAGTTCCACCCTCGTTTACGCTCATCAAAAGTCATCTCTTATCAGATGTTATCTACCCTTATCTTGTCACTGTCATGGGGTGGACTTTTTTTTTTCTTGCTTCAAGGGAAAAATATTATTACATCATCATCTTCCTCTTCTTCCTCCTCCTCCTCTTCCTCATCCTTCTCCTCTTCTTCCTCTTCCTCCTACTATTCCTCTTCCTCCTACTCTTCCTCTTCCTCCTACTCTTCCTCTTCCTCCTCCTCTTACCCCTAATCTTCCTCCTACTATTCCTCTTCCTCTTATTCCTCTTCCTCCTACTCTTCCTCTTCCTCCTCCTCCTCTTCCTCCTCCTCCCCCCTCTTCTTCCTCTTCCCCTTCTCCTTCTCCTCTCCTCCATAGTGTAAATTACCAGGAGTCGGCAGCTGTCAAAATGACATATTGTCTCATTACTCACTCCCCCTCCCGCCTGTCAAAACAATGGGGTTGGATGCTGCTTCCCCTCCTCCATTCTATCTAATTATCTTTCTCCCTCATTCTATCTCTTTCCTATCTGTCTGTCTATCTCTGTCTCACAGGTACACATAAATACAAGTATACATAGTATAAATTACCTAGGATAACCCAAGAAACCCAGACAAAGTGCTATACTCTGCTTGAAGATGTGAGTAAAAGTGATGATGCAGTCTTGTGGCTCTCTGAGACAGAGCTAGACGGATAGACAGGGAGCTTGACAGACAAATAGACAGACAGAAATGTTAGTATACCAGCAAAAACAAAGGGAGGGCGATGTTCATCTAATCTTTTGGTATCAGCTGCACCCTCATTTACCCTCATCAAACGTCAGCTCTTATCAGATGTTATCTCCCCTTATCTTGTTACTGTCATGGGTGAACATTTATTATTACATATTATTATTATTACGTATTATTATTATTATGTATTATTATTATGTATTACTGTTATCATTACGTATTCTTCTTCTTCCTCCTCCTCCTCCTCTGCCTCCTCCTCCTCTGCCTCCTCCTCCTCCTCTGCCTCCTCCTCCTCTGCCTCCTCCTCCTCCTCTGCCTCCTCCTCCTCCTCCATTCTTGGAATAAGTTTGAAGAGCTTGTAGTTCATAATCACTATCACTATCATCACCAATGCTCACATCTGAGTCTGGGATTTGGGAAAATAGGAGTTTCCTCTTTGATTCTGGTACAACTGAATGTGAACAAGACGGCCCAGCACCAGAGGTGAAAGGCTGTGGGTTGTCTGGGTTTTCCTCACTATTACCCATATTATGGTCATTAGTTTAGGTCAAAACCTCACCAGAACCTTGAAACTCATCTTCACTGTCACTTCCATCTGTATTAGAACTGTCACTGGGGAACAAAAGTGTCCCAATTCGCCGAGGAGTGAGGAACTTCTTACCGCTAGGCACAGTGGACATTGTGTACTATGATGGCATTCCCACAATGCACCACTGGGTCCCAGATTTTTTTCCTACTGCGCACACCCACCACACAGACCCATTCTCTCACATCTAGGCTTATCAGCCTTTTGACAGCGCTAGAATTTATGCGTACTAGTACGTCAAAAACCCCTGCGCGTAAGACGTACTAGTACGGCCGAAACCCTCAAAGGGTTAAAAACCTTTATACAAATATTAAATGTACCGTTCCAAATATAACTAGTTATTACAAAAGATGTGGAGTATACAAGGCGCTATCAAAAAGTTCCTGAGCTGCTGCTGCAAAAACATATATAGGCTTACCTAACCATCTAGTTGAAATGATCATCCTTAAAGTACTCTTCTTGAGAGGGTATACACTGATCCTAGTACATTTGCCACTGCTTGGAACATTTCTGGAACTTTTTTTTTCCTAACATCTAGCGAGGCCTGTGATTGTCCTTGAATTTCCTCCACATCATTAAAATACTGCCCCTAGAGTGCCATTTTTATTTTTGGGAAGAGAAACAAGACACAGGAAGCTAGATCTGGAGAGCTGGGAGGGTGGACGATGACTGTCATTTTGTTTCTGGCCAGAAAACAATTATCTTTCTGATCTTGAGTCAGCAAGCAGGGCACATATGTCAGCCACTCACCTTATTTTCAGATTTTCAGTCAAAATGCTTTGACAAGACCTATAAGAAATTCCCACTGCACTTACAATGTTCTGGATACTCTGACAGCCTTTTTGAATATTCTTTCTCACTTTTTCAATGTTGGCATTCATTTTTTTACACTGATGGACAACCAGAGCATTCATCATCCTCAACTGATGTTTGTCCTGCTTTGAATTGAGAAAACCACTCAAAACACTGTCTGATCCATTGCTTTATCACCAAATGCTTGCTAAAGCATTTTGTGAGGTTTTCCTAACTTTTATATCAGTATGCAACAAGGTGTATTAAAATGTACTGCTCCATAACCTGTGTCAATACAGAGTAAGAATTAGGATTAGTCTGCCCAAAATGCCTAGCCATGCTAGTGGCCGTCTTTGTAATTAATATTTTATAATATGTAAACCATACATTGTAAGCTTTGCAAGGAAATAAACATTTTCATTTAACTAAGCTTAAAACAGAATTTTACACACCCTCTGATCTTTATTTGAAACATTTCATTTGTTATACAAAAGTCACAACAATGCACTGACAACACAACAACAAAAAAAAAAAAATGCCCAGGTAACCTCAACTTAATGACCAACTGCACTGAAACTCTCCACATTACTTCACAAAGAAGTGTGCTACACAGTGTTATCTGTGCTGCCACCATATTTCACCCAGGAAGTAATGAATTCATAGGGTGTGTCAGACACAGGGGATGTCAAAGTTATAATAATAAATAATAATAATAATAAAAATAATAATAATTATAGATAGTAGAGTGGAAGACAGCAACTACTCAGGGAGGTACTACCGTTCAGCCAAGTGAGTGTGAAACAGAAACCTGTAATTGTTTCACATGATGGAAGGAATGCTGGTGTCTTTTTTTGTCTCATAAACACACAGGATAACAGGTATATCTTGCTACTTCTACTTACACTGAGGTCACACTACACATGCATGTACGTACATGTACACACACAGGCCTAGTGTCTAATCGATATGTGCCAAGGACAAAATGGTAACTAACATTCCACACCTATCTGGGTTTTCTTATTTTTTCTTAATAGTTCTTGTTCTTGTTTATCTCCTCTTATCTCCATGGGGAAGTGGAACAGAACTCTTCCTCCGTAAGTCATGCGTGTCATAAGAGGAGACTAAAATGCCAGGAGCAAGTGGCTAGTAACCCCTTCTTCTGTATATATTACTAAATTTAAAATGAGAAACTTTCGGTTTTCTTTTTAGGTTGCCCTGCCTAGGTGGGATATAGCCAGTTCGTTGAAGAAAAATAATAATTATAGCATGATAATGTTCTTTTGGGACGTTCTAAAGAGAAGGTGCAAAGGTTAGAGGATGAGTTTGGGAGAGTGTGTAAAGAAAGTTGAAAGGGAACAAAGATAAGAATAAGGTGATGAGGGTATTAAACAAGTTAGGTAAAGAAAAATTGGATATCACATTGGAGGGAGGGAGTATGGAAGAAGTGAATGTGTTCAGGTATTTGGGAGTAGACGTGTCAGCACATGGGTTAATGAAGGAAAAGGTAAACCACAGAACTGATGAAGGAAACATGATGAGTGGTGCACTGAGGTATCTTTGGAGACAAAAAATGTTATCCATGGAGGCAAAGAAAGGAATGTAAGAGTACAGTGGTAGCAACACTCTTATATGGGTGTGAAGCAAGGGTTGTAAATGCTGCAGCAAGGAGGAGGCTGGAGGCAGTGGAGATGTTGTGTCTAAGGGCAATGTGTGATGTGAATATTATGCAGAGAATTCGTAGTGTGGAAATTAAGGGGACATTTGGAGTCACAAAGTATTATTCAGAAAGCTGAGGAGGGGTTGTTGAGGTGGCTTGGTCATTTAGAGACGATGGAGCAAAACAGGATGACTTGGACAGTGTGTAAATCTGTAGTGGAGGGAGAAGGGATAGGGGTCATCCTAGGAAAGGGTGGAGGGGCTTGGACATGTATCAGGCATGTGAGAATATGTTAGATAGGAGTGAATGGAGATGAACGGTTTTTGGGACCTGACGAGCTGTTGAAGTGTGAGCAGGGTAATATTTTGTGAAGGGATTCAGGGAAACCAGTTAGCTGAGCTTGAGTCCTGGAGAAGTTTGGGATACCGGCTGTTTGGAGTTACAGCTAAATTGTCATATCTCAGCATCTCTACAAAGACAGTGATTATACGTGAATGACGGTGAAAGTATTTTTCTTTTCTGGGTCACCTAGCTTCAGTGGGATATGGCCGGCTTGTTGAAAAAAAGAAAATAATAATTTTATTTCAGCATGATACAATGTTTATATAGAGATATGTGACATAGTTGTGCATGCAGAAAGTCCATAATTATGGAGAGCATTTCAGGCAAACTTAAGATTAAAATGGCAATAACTAACTGCTTATAAATATATATATATAAGGCTCCATGGGGAAGTGGAACAAAATTCTTCCTCCTTAAGCCATGCGTGTCGTAAGAGGCGACTAAAATGCCAGGAGCAAAGGGCTACTAACCCCTTCTCCTGTATATATTACTAAACTTTTGTTTTCCTTTTTGGGCCATCCTGCTTTGGTGGAATATGGCCAGTTTGTTGAAAGAAGATATATAAGGATATGAAGGGTTTGTAAATAGTAAATTTAGGAATTACAAAGAGAACAAACAAGCAATTAATTATTACTTAAGGTTGGATAATGACTACAGGCAATAAGAAACAGAATATATAGTCTTTCACATGTTAATTTTTCTTAGCACGTCCAGCATCACTAGTTTTCCCTCTATTGTGTAAGAGTTAATAGCCAGAGACCAGATAGTGATGAAAATATATCTAAAATAACTTAAACATGACATGTGGTACCCAAATTTGTTCCAAGGCCTGTAGTACCAATATTTCAGACATTAGCTGATTTTTTTCATGTTTTATGTTGCTAAAATTACTAAATAAATAAAATAAATAAATAAATAATATTAAGCTTTTCCCAGTTTATCTAATTTTTTAGTCAACTCATCTGACACATGTTGCACCAAAATCTAGTTTTTTGAAGAGGACAGTGTATCATCAAGAACTATCTGTCTTATACCCACTGGGGTCCTTCAATCTTGTCCCCCAAGATGTGACCCACAACAATCAACTAACACCCAGGTACCTACTTAACTGCTAGGTGAACAGGGACAGCAGGTGTAAGGAAACATGCCCAATGTTTCCACCCGGCCTGAGATCGAACCATGGACACTCAGTGAGGAGGATTTGTTGCCATTTTTACTTTTATTAGATGACATACATACAATTAACTAAGCAAAAATATTAAACAACAATGGAGAATCCCACATCTACCTAGAAACCATTCCTTGTCTTTTCAACTAATGTTAAACATACATGAATCAATCTCCTCAAAAACTCTAAGAGAAGCAGAACAACTCACAAATAAGAACCAACAAGGGGAAGTGAGGATATGTGAAGAACAGGAAGGGGCAGGGACAGATCTACTATGAAACTTATTAAGCTTCAGCTTCAGAGCCCTTAATTAATCCCAGAAGGGCCCCAGAAGTGACTTGAGTCCACATTACTTAAAACTTTTAGGTCTACTGTATAAGAATGGGTTGTGAAGGGGCCCACATAACAGTTCAAGCTTCGGGTCCCAAAAAATGTGGGTCTGCTGTTGGGTAGGGAAGAGGAAAAGCTATCACAAAAGAGAGCCAGGGCCAGACCCAGCAGTGAAAATGTCTAGTTTTCAACAATACATTTCTGTGAACCTCTGGCAAAACTAAGTGAAGGTAAATACGATTCCTTCAGTAAGTCACCTTGCCTCTTTGGGAAATGACTGATTTGTTAAAAAAATATTCCATGCATTCAAATTCAAGTTTATTTCCACATGATACATTGTTGATACATGCATGGGTTGACACATGAATGCATGTAAGCCCATGATCATGCAGAGCATTTTGGGCAAGCTTAAGCCTAACTAAAGACTCCATCATGACAAAAACTTCAGATATATTGTATTTTGATTGAAATCAAGAGAAACACTCACTTTAAATAAAGCTTCCACTTTAGCAGGGCTGACATATGCTCGTTTGCTTTCTTGGAAGGGATGTCTACAGAGGACTCTGCTGCCACATTTTGGAGCCGATTCTGAAGTTCGATGCATCAAGTCTATAAGAGCATGACCTGAAAATTGCATATGTACACTCAATTATTCAAGTAGTTTTCCAGTCACCTCTAAGAAATGTTGGAAGATATGGAAGTCAGGCTGTAAGGAAGGAGCATGAATTAACTGAATGTGTATACACAGCAAAGTAGAAAACCTTAAGTCATGCAATCATAGCTTGTCTTTTTCAATATGCCGCAATTTAGATTAACTTTTTTTTATTTCAACACAAGTGTACCCATTCTAGGTAGTAGGTTGGTAGACAGCAGCCGCCCAGGGAGGTACTACCGTCCTGCCAAGTGAGTGTAAAACAAAAGCTGTAATTGTTTTTTACATGATGGTAGGATTGCTGGTGTCCTTTGTTCTAGTCTCATAAACATGCAAAATTTCAGGTATGTCTTGCTACTTCTACTTACACTTAGGTCACACTACACATACATGTACAAGCATATATATACATACCCCTCTGTGTTTTCTTCTATTTTCTTTCTAGTTCTTGTTCTTGTTTATTTTCTCTTATCTCCATGGGGAAGTGGAACAGAATTCTTCCTCCGTAAGCCATGCGTGTTGTAAGAGGCGACTAAAATGCCGGGAGCAAGGGGCTAGTAACCCCTTTTTCCGTATAAATTACTAAATTTAAAAAGAGAAACTTTCTTTTTTATTTTTGGGCCACCCTGCCTTGGTGGGATATGGCCGGTTTGTTGAAAAAAAAAAAGTGTACCCAATTCTGTTAAGGCTCACAGAAGTGGAAATAGTTTCCATTGGTGGCACACATTTCCACAGGAGGCAGTCAGGAGACCCATCACTACACATTGGGTAACTCCAATATTTTAGCAGTGCAGGGGAAAGTTTACAAGTTCAACCATGGATTGCCTAACTGAGCAAGTTAGAAGTAAAGCAAGGAAACCAAATTAGAGCAATCAACCAATGAAGTAATAAGCAGTGTGGAAGTAAAAGAGGCTCCATGAAAAAACTTTTTTTTTTTTTACACAGTTAATTTTACAGCCTAAAAGGTGTAGTCACCTGCCTCGTTGGGAGATGGCTGGTGCACTGAAAAAAACGAAACAAAAGAAAGTTATCCTACCTCAGTTCATTTCAAAGTCCAGCCTTATCTAAGGTATACTACCATCCTCCAGGATGCCACGCACATTAGTCGACTAACACCCAGATAACTACTTACTGTTAGGTGAACAGGGGCAGAAGGTGTAAGGAAACGTGCCCGTTACCACCCATACCAGAGATCGAACCATGGACCCTGAGTATGTGAGCTGAGTGCATTACCAACTGAGCCACAGGACACCCATGACAGGGGCCAGTATCATACATCAGTGATATACAATACCGACAAGTTGAATAACACATGAGTACCTTTATTGCCAAAATATTTAGGCAATTAAGGTAACTAAGTGCCTTGCATATGTCTTATTCATCAACAACAGGGCCTGGAAGAATTCAAATTTTTATTTCTTTTTCTGCAGTACAATGATTTAAACAAGATGGGTCCTACACAGATGACAGCAAGGAAATGAGTGAGCTACTCAAGTCCCAATATGACTCGGTTTTTAGCAAGCCGCTAACCAGACAGAGTCAAAGATCAAAATGAATTTTTTATGAGAAAGCCACAGAATTTGGTTAACACAAACCTATCTGACATTATCCTGACACCAAATGACTTCAAACAGGCGATAAATGACGTGCCCATGCACTATGCCCCAGGGCCAGACTCATGGAACGCCATGTTAATCAAGAACTGCACGAGCTTTTACCACCCTATGGAGAGGGAGCATGGACACGGGGGTCGTCCCACAGTTACTAAAAACAATAGACATAGCCCCACTCCACAAAGGGGGCAGTAAAGCAATAGCAAAGAACTACAGACCGATAGCACTAACATCCCACATCATAAAAATCTTTGAAAGGGTCCTAAGAAGCAAGATCGCCACCCATCTAGATACCCATCAATTACACAACCCAGGGCAACATGGGTTTAGAGCAGGTCGCTCCTGTCTGTCTCAGCTACTGGATCACTATGACAAGGTCCTAGATGCACTAGAATACAAAAAGAATGCAGATGTAATATATACAGACTTTGCAAAAGCCTTCGACAAGTGTGACCATGGCATAATAGCGCACAAAATGCGTGCTAAAGGAATAACAGAAAAAGTTGGTAGATGGATCTATAATTTCCTCACAAACAGAACACAAAGAGTAGTAGTCAACAGAGTAAAGTCTGAGGCGGCTACGGTGAAAAGCTCTGTTCCACAAGGCACAGTACTCGCTCCCATCTTGTTTCTCATCCTCATATCTGACATAGACAAGGATGTCAGCCACAGCACCGTGTCTTCCTTTGCAGATGACACCCGAATCTGCATGACAGTGTCTTCCATTGCAGACACTGCAAGGCTCCAGGCGGACATCAACCAAATCTTTCAATGGGCTGCAGAAAACAATATGAAGTTCAACGATGAGAAATTTCAATTACTCCGATATGGTAAACATGAGGAAATTAAAACTTCATCAGAGTACGAAACAAATTCCTGCCACAAAGAGCGAAAAGCCAACGTCAAAGACCAGGGAGTGATCATGTCGGAGGATCTCACCTTCAAGAACCATAACATTGTATCAATCTCATCTGCTAGAAAAATGACAGGATGGACGATGAGAACCTTCAAAACTAGGGATGCCAAGCCCATGATGACACTCTTCATGTCGTTTGTTCTATCAAGGCTGGAATATTGCTGCACACTAACAGCACCTTTCAAGGCAGGTGAAATTGCTGACCTAGAAAATGTACAGAGAACCTTCATGGCACGCATAACGGAGATAAAACACCTCAATTACTGGGAGAGCTTGAAGTTCCTGAACCTGTACTCCCTGGAATGCAGGCGGAGAGATACATGATTATATACACCTGGAAAATCCTAGAGGGACTAGTATCGAACTTGCACACAAAAATCACTCACAACAAAAGCAAAAGACTCGGCAGACGATGCAACATCCCCCCAATGAAAAGCAGGGGTGTCACTAGCACGTTAAGAGACAATACAATAAGTCAATAAGTGTCAGGGGCCCGAGACTGTTCAACTGCCTCCCAGCATACATAGGGGATTACCAATAGGCCCCTGGCTGTCTTTAAGCAGGCACTGGACAAGCACCTAAAGTCGGTACCTGACCAGCCGGGCTGTGGCTCGTACGGTGGATTACGTGAGGCCAGCAGTAACAGCCTGGTTGATCAGGTTCTGATCCACCAGGCGGCCTGGTCACAGACCGGGCCACGGGGGCGTTGACCCCTGGAACTCTCTCCAGGTAAACAATGTAGTTTACATGTAATAAAACATTCTTAATCACAAAACTCACTAAAACACAATGCATTTCTGATAAACTAATCCTAATGCTTAAATTCTACTTAAGAATTATACATTTATTTTTATTTAATTAACACATCGGCTGTTTCTCACCAAGGCAGGGTGGCCCGAAAAAGAAAAACTTTCATCATTCACTCCATCACTGTCTTGTCAGAGGCATGCCTACACTACAGTTATAAAACTGCAACATTAACACTCTTCCTTCAGAGTGCCGGCACTGTGCTTCCCATTTTCAGGAATCAAGTCCGGCCTGTTGGTTTCCCTGAATCCCTTCATAAATGTTACCTTGCTTGCACTCCAACAGCATGTCAAGTCCTAAAAACCATTGGTCTACATTCGCTCCTGTCTAACACTCTCACGCATGCTTGCTGGAAGTCCAAGCCCCTCGCACACAAAGCCTCCTTTACCTCCTCCCTCCAACCTTCCTTAGGCCGACCCCTACCCTGCCTTCCCACCACTACAGATTTACACATTCTTTAAGTCATTCTATTTTGTTCCATCCCCTGTACATGCCCAAACCATCTCAATAACCCCTCCTTAGCCCTCTGGATAATAGTTTTGGAAATCCCACACCTCCTCCTAATCTCCAAACTATGGATTCTCTGCATTATATTCACACCACACATTGCCCTCAGACATGACATCTCCACGGCCTCCAGCCTTCTTGTTGCAACATTCACAACCCATGCCTCACCCATACAAGAGCGTTGGTATAGCTATACTATCATACAGTCTCCTCTTTGCTTTGCTTTCATGGATAAATTCTTTGTCTCTACAGACTTCAGTGTACCACTCACCTTTTTGCCCTCGTCAATTCTATGAGTCACCTAATCCTTCATAGACCTATCTGCTGACATGTCCACTCTCAAATATTTGAACACATTCACCTTCTCCATACTCTCTTCCTCCAATCTGATATCCAATCTTTCATCACCTAATCTTTTTGTTATCTTCATCACCTTATTCTTTCCTATATTCATTTTTAATTTCTCTCTTTTACATACCCTACCAAGCTCATCAACCAACCTCTGCAACTTCTCTTCAGAATCTCCCAAAAGCACAGTGTCATCAGCAAAGAGCAGCTGTGACAACTCACTTTGTGTTAGATTCTTTATCTTTTAACCCCATACCTCTTGCCAACACCCAAGCATTCACTTCTCTTACAACTCCATCTATAAATATAATGAACAACCACGGTGACATCACATATCCCTGTCTAAGGCCCACTTTTACTATGAAATAATCCCCCTCTCACCTACATACTCTAACCTGAGGCTCACTATCATCATAAAAACTTTTCACCGCTTTCAACAACCTACATCCTATTCCATACATTTGCAACATCTGCCACATTGCCTCTTTATCCACCCTATCATATGCCTTTTCCAAATCCATAAATGCCACAAATACCTCTTTACCCTTATCTAAATACTCTTCACCTATATGTTTCACTCTAAACACTTGGTCTACACACCCCCTACCTTTCTAAAGCCTCTTTGTTCATCTGCTATCCTGCTAAGATAAGATTTCGTTCGGATTTTTAACCCCGGAGGGTTAGCCACCCAGGATAACCCAAGAAAGACAGTGCGTCATCGAGGACTGTCTAACTTATTTCCATTGGGGTCCTTAATCTTGTCCCCCAGGATGCGACCCAC